CCATTCCCTTATCCAACCGTCCATTTTTAATGGAGGGTTAAGATTGTTTCAATCACAATGTCACGTCTCTATATTGTTTTATTTTTAATTTTTTTTCTATAAACTTTTTTGACACCAAATTTTGGACGTCCATTTTTATATTAAACTTGCACTAACAAAAAATATTAAAAAAATATTTTCAATAAAATAAAATGACCTAAATACCCCTTAAAGATTTAAAGGGTATTTTGGTCATTATTTTTATCAAAAAATTATTGTTAATATTTTTTATAGATGTGCTCCAATGAGAAGATGTCACGTACTAAATTTCATATTCAGAAAAATTGTATTAAAAAAACTAAAAACAAAATACTTTGAGACGTCGGATCTAAGATCAAACGATGAGTGGCTCTCTTGATAAAAAATGGATGGCTGGATGGTAAAGGGAACATAGAACTTCTATAGTATAGGGGGAACATAGAAAGCTTTCCCATATATAAATATAGGAAAATTATGCGTTGGGGAACGCATTTCTACATTTGTGTCACGAGTTATAAAGTATATATTTTAAAGACAGGTAAATGGGTTGTCCGTCAAAAAATAGATGAAACTAACTGTTCCATTTTTTTTAATAGAGTTATTATTTTTAGCATTTAAAATTTACATGTTTCTTCATATTCATGATTTCCATGTTAGATATTATATATCTTTAAAAATTGGGTAAAAAAATCTATCTCAAAAAATAGATTTTAGGAAGACTCATTTCTGCATAGACTCATAGAAACCATGTCCATATATGTGTATGTGTATGTGCATGTGTGTGCGCGGGCGCACTCGTGTATGTGTGTGTATCATTTGATTGGGCACAAAATCCTAAATAAATTTTTTTGAATATTGTGATACACTTCAATTTATTGGATTTTATATCTAATAGCTATAAATGATTATGACCTCGTATCAAAAGTAAATGATCTCATAGTATAACAATGGCAATTTTTGAAACACACACACGGATATATATAAGGAGGTCGAGGTTGGCCCAAACTTCTTGGTTTGCTTCAGAAAATGACTAATTGCAGCCTTATTTCAATTTTGACATCCATTGTAAATCTTATTTCAATTTTGACATCCATTGTAAATTATTGTGGACTATAATATAGAGAAAGCATAGAATGAAACTATTTACCTTTGGTACAAGGTGGTTATATTAACCTTGACCATTGGATGTGAAATTGGATGGCTAAAATTATTATATTAACCGAGCTTAACCTTCAAAAGAATTTTTTTCGAACTTTGTAACACTTCCAAGCTATCCAATTTCACATCAAATAATTGTAAGTAATTGTGACCACCTTGTATCAAATGCAAATGCAAATGGTCTCTATATTCATCGTGTTTATGACATTAATTGTGCATATTTGGATTCATGCTTATAGAAAATTAATATCATAACAAACAATACATTAATTTGATATTTTAAAGTGCTGGTAATTAATAAAAAAGACAAATACGATAATACCCTAATAAATAAGGGTGCGGTTTGTATAGAGCCTAGGCTCTAAACAATCAAATTAGAACCTACCTTCAAATAGTGTTGATAAATGTAGTTTCAATACTAGAAATCTTTGTGATAGCCTTTAAATATATTTTTATCTTTATTTATAAAATTTAAATATTAAAAAATAGTGTAGATCGAGCAGATCAATGAAATCTTGAAAATTAATGGTCCAAAATGCATTACAAATACATTATTTCAAAAACTTGAAATCCATTTATTTCTCATGCCCATGCATATTGATGTCGAGATGATCAATTTGAGGATATTTGAGCATCAAAACAACCTTTTCTAGTAAACTTTTTGAGGTAGGCTTTGATTTTATTATTTAGAGCCTCGGCCTATATAAACTTTTCCCAATAAAAAATCCTCATAGTAAATTGCATCATTTCCTCAAAATATATAAATTAGAAGCCAAAATCATATTCCTTTTAAAATTAATCAAACTTTGTGGGAAATCCTGTTGGATAGTTAGTATCTCTCTCCCAAATCCAAATTCACCAAAATTATTTAATTATCTTCACAAATTCTTATTTTTTTATTGTGATTATGCCAGCATTTGACACTGGTTGTTAAGTATTAACCGTAATGCCTTGACTCCATGCTTAAGACCCAAACTTGGTTTACTAACCCAATATTATAATGTTTTCTAATTGGCATTTTGTAGCATCTATCTTTACTTAGAAAACAAAAAGTAAGGTGTGAAAACAAACATTGCAATTCATAAAAATCACAAATTATAGGGGCCAATATGCTAGGACATAATCTAACTGGGCCACGTGTCCAAATGGGCATTGTTGAATGGTCATGGACCATGAGAAGGCTTTATGAAAGCTAGGTCAACCTACTTCCAATACCTTTGTCCCAAAGTGGAAATCTGACCAGCTCCACTACCTAAACCCAAGTGTATGAAAGCAACTCAATGTTCTATTAATTGAAGGGGCTAATTTCAAAGGAATTTGATTTTATGTACTGTAGTAGAGTTTGAAAGCAACTCAAAAGCTTTGTCATACCAAGGCTAAAAAGAAAAAGAAATCAACCGAGTGACATAGGAAAAGTATTTGGTGAGTCAGCGGTCTCATCTCAATTTTAATTTTTGAAGTTGAAACTAATAGAAAAAAAATTTAAAAATTTTAATTTTTGGAAAGGCCACAATAGAAATATTTTTTTTTTTTAGAAGTAAATGTAACATGATATTGATATCTCGGGTTCATATAGATATACATCATTACGGATATATGATATATATCTTTTGATTAGGTATCTACTTGGTTATCAAATTAGTTTGTTGATGGAGGTAAATAGTAAGAGGCCTTCGCACCAAACTAACTTGATAATAAAATAATTTTGACTTGGTCTCTTATTATCTCTTAGATACCTAATATTTTCAAGAGATATATACCATATATCCATAATGATAGATATCTATATGAATCCGAGATATTCATATCCCCTCAAACTCAAGATGCTTTGACACAAAGTAGTTGGAATTTAAACAATACTAAGTTTATCTTCTAGATACCTAATCTTATCAAGAGATATGTACCATACATCTATAATGATGTATATCTATATGAACCCGAGATATCCATATCTTAACCTAGCAAGATAAGAAAGTGTATATTGCACCTAATAAGATAGGGATATGTATATTATACTATTATATCACCATTATATATACAATGAAAGAATCCACACAAGTAAGTGCAGGTTCAAAAGTTCTATTATCTCTCTAAAATTCTTTAGAAACACTTCTCAAATCACTACAAATCTAATTCTACCTTTGAGGCACTAATTTGGAGCTCTGTATACATGTAGATCTGTTGATCTTTGAAGAATTAAAACGAATAGTCTAAATTAACATGCAACATAGATGAATTTTAATGCTCAAAACAATTTTATTTTATTTTTTTCGAGATTCACAATTGTGGTATGTTAGATGATATACCTCTTAGAATTTGGATCTAATTTTTTTTCCCTAAGGTGGAATTAAGATAGAATTGGGAGGTGAGTCTCATGGCATCTAAACCCTATCCGTTAACATAAAGTAGTATTTTTTTTTTCCGTATAATTCCGTGGTAGGAATCGAATTTGAGATAAAAGTGATATTTTTTTTTACTTTTTGCTTTTTTCCACACTAATCAAACCTACACCGTCCATTTCTTCTTTTTACTTTTTTCATTAAGTAAGAAACGCGTGTAATAGTTAACACTGTTTCCCTCTAGGGGGATAGTAATCAAACCTACACCGTCCATTTCTTCTTTTTACTTTTTTCATTCAGTAAAAAACGCGTGTAATAGTTAACACTGTTACCCTCTAGGGGGATAGAGTAGCCATCATCAACTTGTCGGTCTCCTTACCCTCCTTGGAATCATTCCACATAGAACAACTAAAGTATTTTACATCATTTCATCAATGATTTAAATATTGTTTTTTTTGATCTTGGTCGGACTTTATCAGAAGGCGGGTGATTTTGGCCTAAAAAATAATCATAGAACAAAAATCATAGGATCGTCCTAGTCTCTTGGTTTTTTAATTATTTAATTATTTTTTGTCAAATATAACACTGTCTAACTCGGAATCGCCAGAGTCAAAAGGAGAAATAAAAATGGAACCTTGGCCTAATTGAATATCGATTCGGATTTTTGAAAAATTGACGTATATTAGTGAAACTTTAATTTACCGTTTGAATCTATAAAAGAAGCATAAACCCACTAATTTTCACCAATGTTCAAGAGAGCTGACTGCCCATATTAACACAGTCTCAATCCACAGTTGGATGGGAGAGTGAGATGATTTCTTTTGTAGAGTTATTGAACAATGCATCCACACAAAGGACGGTTGAAATTATAAAAATTTGGGTACCACTTAATCAATGACCATCAAATACGATAAAAGAAAAGTATATAATGAGATCATTTATCTTTGGTATAAGGTGGTCACACTTAATCTTGACCACTGGATGTGAAATTGGGTTGTTACATTTATTCTATTGACCAGGCTCAAAGTGTAAAATAATTTTTTTCAAACGTTGAAACACATTCAAGCTATCAGATTTCACATCGGATGGTTACAAATAATTGCAACCTCCTTGTATTAAAGGTAAATAGTCTCATTGTATACAGTCTCTATAAAAATAATAACTTTTCTACATACATTGTTTGCTAAAGTCCTCAAAGTAGAGATACCAGCATCATCGCATTTGTAGAGCATAAATTGTTTGTCAACCAGGCGGGGTTACCCAGAATTGGCTAGATTACCTAGAATTGGTCTCTAGCTGGTCTAGTTTTGGCCGGTTCTCGTGGTCAAGTTCCAAAGTGTTGAAAAAAATTCCAAAAAACAAAAACATCTAAAAGAATTATAAACTTATTAGTATTGTGTTTTCTGATGTTTTCTATTATTACTGAAACATGTGAAAATTGAAGGGAGAAGGAACATAAAAAGAAAGATTTTATACAACAAGAGTCATAAAAAAGCATCATAAATTCCTAAATTACAGCCTCTGCTTACACCACCGAAAGGTAGCTCCTAATGCTTTCAAAGGAAAACAAAAAAACAACCACATGCCTTGGCGTCTATTTTCCTAGTATCCTAGTTGTAGTACCACATGAAGTCCAAAAGAAGTCGACTTTATACACATTTTGCTCAAAATTTGCAAGAGTTGTGTATGGAATCCCCCTTCCGGCGCCTCAAAATTGTTGAACACTCTCACTTATTTTTGACCATAGAAAAAGGACTCGAATATTTCCAACTCTAAATTCACATTATGGAACAACTATTGGCGTTCTCATCACTAAAATAATCACCCACATCTTCATGCACAACCTGTGTATACGAGGCAGAAGAGGGTCCATAGTACCTGTCCCTATCGTATGCGTATGCAGGACCTGCGTAGCCTGTATAATACGCCGTAGGCTGTGTTGCGGCATAGTGTGTGTGGTACATGACCTGGGGAGCGGGGGTGGTGTGCGGCAATCCATATGGTGTGGGGGTGGTGTATGGTGGTCCATACACATCCCTCCCATAGTACACAACCGGGGGTGGTGGCGGTTGTGGATAGTAATTCTCGACTCTGTACGAAACAGGCGGCGGCATAACGGCCGGTACAACGTGGCCAAAGTTGTTTCCGGCCGCAGGAGGATCGGGATTGCCACTATTAGAAGAAGAATTTTCACTTGTGCCCTCACCATGATCGCCATCTTTTTGGCTCTTTTTATTGCCCTTTTTGCTAGGGCTTTCCTCTATTGCTTGCTCAGTGAACTCGTTTTTATCTTCCTTCACAGTTTTCTTCTCTTCTTTGTTGTTGCCTTCATTGCCTGATTTCTTTGCAGGGGCAGTGTTGTCTTTTGCCTTTTCTTTGCCATTTTCTTCTGCTTTTTGTTCCTTTTTCTCTTCCTTGGCAGGCTTCTTTCCTTGCCATAACTCTGCTTTTTTCCCATTTCTTACGAGCTTTTTAACAAGAGTATCAGGGTTCACACTGCCAAGAACCTCCACTGAAACTTTGTGGAGGTTTGGATCCACAGTTGTTCTATAAACACCTGTAAAATAAAGAAAAAAAAATTGTAAAAACCAAGTGTTCCGAAACTTGACGAGCCGACTCAAACTCGCTTCAGTTACTCAAACTAAAAAAAAAGTTCAAACTCGTTCCGAGCAGGGTTTTTCAACATTGAAGAAAAATGTAAACACTGGTTCTAAAATCTTTGCAAATGAAGAGAATAGTCACTTTAAAAATGCAAGTTATGGGTTGTAAAGAAGAGGTTTTGTAATCATGGCTAGAAAGAGAAAGGGACTCTAAACAGAGAAATTGAAATGGTGGTTTAGTGAGAGAGAGGTTATACCTTCAATTGTGGATAACAGTTTCTTTACTTTCTTGTTGCAACCTTCACAGTGGATGAAGACTTTCAACTCAACTATCTGCAAAAACAAAAGATAGAGTTTAACCGCTGTGCCTGAGAGAGAGAGAGAGAGAGAGAGAGAGAGAGAGAGAGAGAGAGAGAGAGAGAGAGAGAGAGAGAGAGAGAGAGTAGTACGTACGTACGTACGTACGTACGTACGTACGTACGTACGTACGTACGTACGTACGTTACGTTACGTTACGTTACGTTACGTTACGTTACGTTACGTACGTAGTACGTACGTACGTACGTAGTACGTACGT